CCCCCCTCTCTCTCTCTCTCTCACACACTCATACACACAAAAAATCTCTAATATAAATAAGGGCAGAGAATTTCAATTTGAGTGCCTCAGTAATAACTGATAATAAATGTATTTTGAATCACTATATTTCCTCTAAAATTAACTATTCCAATAAAATTCCTAACCTTTCTGTGGTGCTATCAGCCCTTGTCCTCTTCAGAAGAGTGGTAGTTTTTCCAGCAAACATAGGCCCCAAAGTCACACAAAACTCTCCAAATTCTGGTTGCATTGACTGGTGTCTCAAGCTCTGAACTTGATTGCAATTTGATATTTTTATACACCCATATAAAGTAATAGAGATCCATGGTTTAACCGTTTGAGCAGGCTTAAGTCTCTGAAGGGGCCTGAAAATGGCCTCTTGAAAAGATGAATTAGAAGGCAAATTTTATGTATATCATGATATACAAGCACACACACACACATATATGTATGTGTGTGTGTGTGTGTGTGTATATTTGTATGTATATAAAGATTAAATTTCTGATCTAGAGACTATAGTGAATGATCAATGATGTCATAATAAAAATGTCAAGAATTACAGCTCATAAAGTTTACACCAATTTACAATACCCATATGAAGAAAAAGAGCCTTAGTTTCACAGTTTGAACATGGTTAAGGCTCTGAACAGGTCTAAAAATGGCCTCGTGAAAAATGAATGAACTCGGGCACTGCTTAGTTCTTTACTATGTCCTTTGGTGACATTGATTGGGGCAGAGGCATGTTTCTATTGTACTGGTTTTGGTAATATCTTTTAAATCACCTACAGCACAAACTCCAATCACAGCATAACAAAGACGACCTAAAAAAAACTTCTTCGTTATGGAATCACCTACAGAACAAGCTCAAATTACATTTTTTTAATTAAAAATGAGGTTGTGAGCTCTTTATCCATTGAACTTCCTCCGCCCCATAAAAAGAGTCTCATTTCTCAACTTGTGTTTGTCCCATAAGAAGAATGCTATTTCTCAACTTGTTAGAGAAAATAGGTATATTTAAGGGGCCATTCAGTTGGATTTAATTTCAATACTATTCAATTCAGTTCAGTATCATAATATCATTCAGTCCAGATCACTTCAGTATTATTCAGTACTGTTCAGTACTAGTGTACTACTTAGTTAAAAATAACACTATAATAACTCCGATTCAATTTAGTATCATTCACTTCAATTCAATACTTTCTATGACTTGCACAAAACTAAAATTTAAATATTATGACCTTATCAAAGTGGCCTCCTTTTATGAGACGGAAGGAGTATACGTTATGTTTCATTTTCCTAAAAATCAAAAAACACACTTCAATGGAACAACCCCGTAAATCCCACAATTGGGTTCTGAGGGACGTAGATGTAACAACCCCGTATGCCGACCTTACCCATACCCAACATGGTAGAGATGCTGTAAAAAACACTTCAATGCAGGTTTTTAAAATAATGTCATATGGGGGGAGGGGGGGAGAAGCAGCACGGGCAGGGGTTCGGGCCAGAGTCTCCAAAAAAGGGTATCTAAGCAGAATAGTTTATGCTGGCGTACCATTCAAGATGCATAAAAAAGAGGATAAAATAATACTCCCTCCATCCTAAAATAAACTTTCAACTTTCATTTTTGCTTTGTCCCAAAATACACTTCTAGTTCCATTTTAGAAAAGCATTAAATGATTCAAGTTATTTCTCTCTTCTGAAAAAATCTCAACCGCATAATTTTTTTCTTAAACTCAATGAATGGGAAGTTTAATTTGGGGAGGAGGAGAATAATATACCTTCTCAGTATATAGCCAAATGCTTGAAGCATCCCAGATTCCCAGACGATTGTTAGCGTGTTCAAACCTTCTCCATCTAGATTTCATGATGAGCCGTGCATCATAACTTATGTCACATGACCAATTCAAAAGGATCAAATAATATAAGATATTAAAGCATCTACATTCACTCGAGAAAATTTATTCTTCCAAAAGAAAGGATTCAATGTACAGATAATTCTTTAAATAGGATCAGAATACAATTGCAAATTAAAACCCTGCAACGTTAAACTCAACGACTGCTAATGTACTACTCCCTCCGTTCTTGAAAACACTTCCGCCCTAATTTTTGCGCACCCCATAAAATAATGTTACTCTACCTAAAATGTCTAAAATATCTCCAAAATAACTTCTACCAGCAATAAACTACATAATGAGATGTATTTCAGACATTTTAGGTGGAAATAAAAGTATTTCATGGGGTGCGCAAAAAATTAGGGCGGAAGTGTTTTCAAGAACGGAGGGAGTACATGGCATTTGACGAATGAGGTTTATACTCCTAATAATGACCCTAAGAAAAATAAAATTTAGGGGTAGACACGGATCTGAAACGGAGGTACAAGTGCGTAGGTCCGGCAACTGGAAATCAAACCCTATGTGCTAATCTGGTAAGTGGTAACAATCAGGCGTTTTGATACACTAGTACTATAAAACATAAACACAGCCACTTCACTACATATACATCCAGATATACCATGATATTCATACATCAAGAACATGAATCAGTCATATTTAAATCTGCATTCTTTAGCAGGAAAATAAAGAGTTTTAAGAAAACATAAACACGAAAAGACAAGTAGAAACGAGCATTTTCCGAAGAACAATGGGAAATACTGAAATAGTTGAAAAATTACAGAAAATGTCACTAGATGTAAAAAAACACAAATTGAACTCATCAATCCATATCGAACAGAGATAGGAGACCCGCAGAATTTCAATGTAAAATACCTATAAACAAAATGTAATTTAACTAAATTGGTGCAGATAGGGAAAAAAACATGCCTTATCACTCTCAGATAGTGAAATTTGGTTGCAACTATTTTTTCATGCTCGTATTAGTCGTATATGAACTTGGTTTAACTGTCAATACAAGGAAGAGAGAAAAGTTATAAAACAAAAACATGAAGGTTCAGTAGGGAACCCGAGAGACGGACGAGCGGGGAGCCACCACTACCCGATCGCCGTTTGGTTCCACCGGTAGAATTCCTGATTTGGAATTGGAACCGTTTCCAACCACTACCCGTTGGGTTCGGAGGCGGAGCTCGGAATAAGTTTCAGAAAACGCAATCAGCTGATGAGGAATTCACGTTGGAGCGCTGAAGAACTGGAAGCCGTCGCACAAGCCTCCCCGACACCGCCTTTGTACGCCGGCCTCGCCCGGTCACCGTCTCCGATCTCTTAATTTTTCTCGAGATTAAAGTAAACAATGAAAGTATTCAATTTCTCTGTTTTGGGACCGGAAGATGACCTGATATATTCAGATCGATCCGGGTCAAGTGCATTTTAAGGGCCCAAATCGAAATGTGTGTGCCCACTAGAGTAGCTTGGATTGATTATTGTCCGGTTTGAGCTCAGCCCAACGTCTAGATGGACATATAAGCCCAGAAATCAAAATTGAATGGCTCAAGTATCAATTAAGTTAGGCCTGCCCGCCTGGGCAGGTTACATGATTAACCAGTTAACTTGACATATTTTGTTTTTATAAAAACCCATGGAGTTACTCTTTCTATCTGGGAATGTTTTTCTTATTTGATTTTTTTGTCAAAATTTATAAACTTTAATTTTGATATGTAGAAAAAATATATAGTTTTACGATATAAATTTGGTATCAATATATTCTTATTGAAACGTAACTTTTAAATATCAATTTTTTATAATATATATCTATGTACAGATATAGATATTAAAGATCAAAGTGTAATATAGAATTCCGTGAAAAGTCAAATTGGAAAAACATTTTCGAACGTAGAGAGTATAATTTAGGATGCGTTCGTTCGTCTGATCGGATCTGTTTTTTTGAAGATATGGTCTGACCTGATTGTAGTTATAATTAAATTTGTTTATGTTCTGATATGCTCTGGTATGATATGATTTGGTCTTATTATAATAAGAATAAATAATAAGTACAAAAAAATGTTTTCATTTTGACTTTTAGAAATATTAGGAGAGTGATATTTTTGTATTGGTAGGCTTTCCAAAAATACCCTAAATGTGATGGATAAAAGTAATACTCCGTATGTGATATGTGGATTATTAGTAAAAAAAAATATGATGTGATAGATAGGTTAAGAATTAGTAGCGGTAAAAGTAATTTTTAATAAAAATGTGAAAGATTTTGTGAGACAAGTAAAAAAAGAAAGTGTAAAGAATTTTTGGGACGGAGTGAGTCGAACAAAACACATTATTCAATGTTTTATACCAAAATAAGGAGTATGAATTATAATGTCAAAATATTAAAGAACACGTACTTGATCAAAAAAAAAAAAAAGAACACGTACGGCTAAGACTTCTATTAAGAGATAATAACATAAAAAATTTATTTTGATATGATGAATTATTGGACACAAGAAATTATTAAATACGGGAATACATCTTTGGTGAGAATATGTTTGACTTCTTATAGTCAAATTCTGACCAATTTGACTTCTTATAGTAAAATTAAACAAATTTTTATTATTAATTTGATAAATGTTAAGTTGTCTATCAATAAAATAAAATAATTTTGAAAATGTAATTCATCTGATTAGTCAAACTAAATCATTTTTGTACTAACACGTAGCAAAAATTTTATTTTTAACTAACAAAATTATTTAAGTTTGCCCAATTTAACTATAAAGAGATTGAGTTACAAACAATGAGATGGGGCCAGTATAATTAATGGGATAATTGAGAAAGCCGGTCCTTAATTGGGTAAAATTTACGTCGACGTCTTACACCACATTGATTGAGATTTGAGGATACAAATATAAATTAATTGTGGATTGATTGAGACTATATATAGTCCATAGACAATGGAAGATTACCTTCTTCTAGCTAATCACTTAATTAAAAATAAACAAAGCATTATTAATTAGCAGTAGTATATATAATGCAATCTTGCAAAGATAAGCCAAGGCCCAGTTTACATCACAGTGGGTCTACGTCATCCTCAAAATGGAAATCAAACTCTTTCTTTTTCGGGAGTCCCGTTTGACAACAATGTTAGAGTTTAACGTTAGTCTTTTGAAAATACTACGTAATATGTAACGATGGACTTTAACGTTAGCATTTTCAAAATTAATCCAAATTATGGAGTATTAAAATATTAAACGTTGAGGCTAATCGAAAACGTTGTTATCAAATAATTAGTCAATGGTAAAACAAAAATGTTATCACAGATAACAATTGAATGTGAATTTGTACACAAACGATAACAGTTTGTGAACTCTGTGTGTTCACAGATGATTATCATCTATGTATATATAAATTAACAAATGATTGTCATTTGTAGTGTCACCTGCGATGAATTTCAAACACGACTCATGCAATTCAATCAATTTTAACGGTTTATTGCTAATACTCATTATGAAATATATAGGTCTCATGTGTTTATAATATATATGGAGTATCACAACGGTTCTGTTGACCTTAGAACCTTGGATCATATTATGACTCGGGACACTTGCGGTGTTCCATTTTATATCAAATTTATAGTTTCGACCCCCCTAACTCCTCCTAAACCATGCCCCCTACCTACACCCCTGCCCCTCCCTCCCTCCCCCCCTTCCCCCTTCATTTCGCTGATTGGCTACAATATTATTCCAAGGTGAAAAGGAGTAACACAAATACACGACTAAAGGGGTGCCTCTTAGTCGTCTCGCTTTTTTAAGACTTCATATCATAGAAGAGGTAAATATTAGGCTCATTGTCGTCTTCGCTAACTCAACTTTTTCTTTTATCTCTGCATGGTACTCTTTTCGAATTATCATGAAATAAAATCGCTTTTACACAAATGTACGTGCACGATATCATTGTCACAACAATCTCTAATATGTGAGCCACATTTTGAATACAAAGTATATAAAAAATTAAATATTAGTCATAAAGTTTTTAGAACCGAAAGAATAGTTACTTGATTAAATTAAAGATAAATCGAGTTATAATAATCTAAATCCTGCCGACGAAGAACCAGACTTTCATATCATGGAATAAAAGCTTACATTGTGTGGACAACGGCGTGAGGAATGGGTGATGTTGGACAGTAGCGTAATTATGAGGGATAAATGATAAGCCATGATTAGTGATTATCACTATGATGAGAAAAAGTGGCCTAAAAGAGAAGAAGCTATCTAGCCAATTGCTAAGGTTTTGGCATCCGATCCTTTGGAAAAGTTAAAGGCCAATATAATTCGGATCCGAGGAAAATCAGTGCGTTTCGGCCATTGGGTGGGTGTGGGGTACAAAAGACAAAATTATATATGCAAGAAAAACAAATCAAATCAAAACAAAATTCCCTCAAAAAATAAAAAATAAAAACGAAACATTACCAAAGACCAAAGACAACAAAGATTTCATAATCCAACTACGCGATAAAGATGCAACTCGAATGTAAGGTCATAGAAACACAATTATTTTTGTTTTCTCTTTACACTTTACATGTTTAGTTTAAGAAATTTGAAAAAGAAAAGAATAAAATTAAATAGAAAACACTTTTTTCTATTTAAATTTTTTTTACCTAAGTATGTATGTGAATACGGTCATTGTTTTTTTAGTCAAATATGTTACGGAGTACTATTTTTATTTGGGTCAATAACTTGTTATTGGGTTAGGAGAATTTGACTTTCATGATTAAGATCCAGCTCTTTTCTAACTTTATCTTCTAGTACCATTCGCCCAACTTTAAACTTATTAGCCTGCAGGTCTCATATTGCAAATTATAGATGTAGAATTTATGCCTTTTGCTAAATTATACTCCGCAGTATTCTTTAAGATTTTACCAAGTACTGTAAAAGACTTTAGATTTTACTACTCCGTATATTTTAGTTATCAAACTTTAGATTTCTTACTACCAAAGTTTGAATTTTCCTGATATGCAATAATGGAAGACCCTTTTATGGAATACTAAAATAATCCATCAATCCCACAAAATCTTTCTACTTTCTTTTTTCATCCGTTTAAAAAAAATTCCTCATTTCTATTAAAAAGTTATTTTTTACCTTTACTAATTTTTAACATAGCTATCACATTACAATTTTTACCATCAAATCTGTTTTTACTCGTCACATCCAAATGCATTTTTGAAAAGTCAACATCAAAATACATCTCCTTTAAATCTTTTAAAAGTCAAAATCAGAAAGGTTTTGTAAGTGAGACGGACAGAGTATCATACTATGTGAATAATTACACCCTCGTTCGCTTGACATTGCTAAGCAATGGGGATGACCGGGATGCCGTACGATGTTCCGTTCGTAAAATTGACGTTCTTATCTCTTATAACCCTCACATCGCCCTGCCCCTAACCCACCACTTCACCCCATCAATTTTATTTCCAAAGTTTAATTGAGAGTCAAAATTTTGACATCAAAGTCAATTAAAATTCGGAGATGCAATTGAAGGGGTGGGGCTGTGGGTTCAGGGTAGGGCCCGGGGTGGGGGTTTATCGAGAGGGTTAGTAGGGGTAAGAACCGGCAATTTTATGAATGAAGTATCGTACGGCTTCTGAGTCATCTCTTGACATCGATCATGGAACCGCCCTGGAATAATTAACTATCCTAAATAAGTATATTCTCTGCTCTGTTGACCTGTTTCCTTGGGTTGAAAAAAAACAAAATTAAATTTTGAAAGAATCAAGAATTACAATCCAAAAAAAACAGGACCATAATGATTCACTGAATTAATTAAGAGGGGAAAAATAAGGAGGGTGTTCTTTGTTGTCTTTCTTCAGTTCCCCCGCCGACAAAAGATGGAGCAAAAAGACACTACTACCTTATTATCATACTCCGTATTATATTTATTTGGTACAATTGTTATTTTTACAAACTCGTACGTAGAACTCTTTAATCTCTATTATTTGAAGGTTTGATGACCTGTTGCAATTTTTTTAATTAGTGATTAGTAGACTTAATTATATTATTGCCTACACTATTTGTTGTCAATCTATATTATATTGGTAGTACAATTTTTTTATTTAATGCCTTCCATTCATCGTTGTAATTTGCATTTGCAAATTGAAATACTTTATCAGGAAAAAACTTGTACTGCACCGCTTAATTATATTGAAGCTTATACCTAGGGCCTGTTTGGGAAAAGCATTAGAGATTAGCGTTAGCGTTTTGAAAACGCTATCTACGGCCAGCGTTTAGCATTAGCGTTTTCAAAGTAATATGCACCGTTAAAATTTTATCCAAAACGATAACGCTAATTTATAACGCT